TATCAAAAATAATTGAAGTAATTATCAAAGACAGAATAACGAGCTTTTTGGAAAACGGAAAACATCTCGATGACCACCAATATGGATTTCGATCGCTGAGATCAACTTCACAAGCTGTTACTGAGATAGTTCACTCAATAGCAAAAAATCTAGACGTAGGAGTACATACACGTGCAATCCTATGCGACTTGTCGAAAGCCTTCGACAGTGTCTCACATGGCATCCTATTAGAAAAGCTCCATAAATACGGGATACGTGGACCAGCTCTTCGACTCATTAAAACATTCATTACGGTCAGACAACAATACACATCCTACAATAATGTGACCTCCAGGACCGTACAAATCAAACATGGTGTACCTCAGGGTTCAGTCCTGGGGCCACTGTTGTTTATAATCTATATGAATGATCTGCTAACCTTCTTAGACGTCGCAGATGTATTTATGTATGCAGATGACTCAACTTCTTTAATCAGAAGCAGGAATTTAGAAGAGATCGATAGAATGTCAAGTGAGACACTGTCACGAGGTGAAGCTTACTTTATCTTTGAATAAAAACAAAACTAAAGAAATAACTTTCTCAAAAAATAAAGCAAATGATTCATCAGTCAAAATACTAGGATTTCACATAGATATTCACATAGATTTCACTTTTAATTTGATCTATATAACATATTTCTTGGAGGTTATGGGTAACAATTTCACTACCAAACATATTATATTTTCCAGATTCACCGACCAATTCAGTTTCACATTTCATGATATTTGTTTCAAAAACTACTTCATCCTTAACAAACTCAAGCTCTTTCTTAATAATTCTTCTACAATCATCAGTAGCCATTGTCTTTGAATACATACGATGTGTTCAACGACGATTTTTTTTAGGCGTTTTCTCGCGCTCATTTGCAGTGATGCCAACTGAATGAACTATAATGTCGCTACACATGAACCAAAATTCCGCTACACTGCTTCATTATCCGCTACGCTTGTATAGTTTGACTAGCTTCTCTGAAACTCACAATAGAAAGTAGTCTCATCCAGTCTATGAAATTGTAACTGTGTTTTTAATTTGTTTACAATTTTTCACTAAGTCCTGAAGAAGGAAATGAACATTTCCAAAAGCTTGGCGTAATACCAATGAGTTTTTCTTACTCCCTGGCATCCTCAAAATTGACTTCACCCCCATAAAAGAAATCACATAGTGATTTCGAAGTTATTTCTATATCTTTCTGCACTAAGTAATGAATAGCTTCGAGAATCGAATTATGTTACCTATAAAGAAATTCGCAAAACTAACACAACCGTCATCGACGTCTGCCCTCACGCATCTGCTCGCATTCTCGACGATGGCGCTTCATTATTCAGACCGTCCCTCTACCTCCGCGCATCGTCCACCGTCGTATTACAGTAGACGCGACGCGTAATGGCTTACTGCGTTGCGTGAAGTTAACTTGACGTAATAAATTTTGAATGATTCGTCCAAATTACTTGGTGTAAAAGACAAAGTTTATCTATATTAAATACTTAAAAAGAAAATTATACCAATTTTTATAATAATTTGACAGTTATTTTAAAATGTGCATTGTGAAAAAGTATTTTGCATATAGTGGCTAAAGGTGAATGTATGCCAAATCATCTAAAATCTAAAGGAACAATTCGTTCAGGTCAGACTCAACTTCCTACATTGTAGATTAATGCACTGACACCTATCAGAAAACAAATACTTCCCTAGCTAATACCACGAAGGGTGTTGGATTATATCCGACAGGTGTCAGTGCAGGATTCTTCACTGAAGTTATTCCTGCATATGCTGTTGACGATACAACTGCCGCAATGGATTTTCAATAATTGGAACACACTTGCAGACCGGTTTCGTGCTGTTTGGCCACTCCTGGTAGTGTCTATCATCAACATAAAGTCGATGATTTCCATTAATTGAAAATCAAATTCCTTCAGAGTATCATTCCTCGAACTAGGCTGAAGCGGATAACAAATATCCGTTGTCCTTCTATTATATAAAGGTGGAGATTCAGATGATCCCGCGAATCTTCGCCCGATCTCTCTCATTCCAACTATAGCCAAAGTTATCGAAAAACTTGTGAAAATACGTCTATATCATCAATCATCCAGGCCATTTTGACATATATCGCAAAACGCAAAAATTCCATCCATGCAATATCCCTATATTAACGTAGCACTATCTATACTGGAATGAAATTTTATAATAGTCTTCCGAAAAACACAAAAGATATTGTCGTTGCTAACAGATTTCCGAAATCTGTAAGAGAATTCTTATGTAATCTAGAGCCCTACAATACTGATGAAATATTTTCTGGCCAGTAGAAATTTATGAACCAAATTTTATTCAAAATTGCGCTATGTATTTATAGAAATTATCTCTACTTTCAATAATCATGCGCAATATGACGCATATTTTAAAATGTTTGTAATCGTGTTTGAAAAGTTGAAGCTATTCGTATTGAATGTTTCATTCATTAGATTTATACGTACATATATTTGATATTTTTAAAAATTTTTCTTTTGACGTATTTCTCAGACAAATTATTCTGCCACTCCTGTGAATTATTATAAAATACTCTGTTGAAATAAATGTATCTATCTATCTACGTATCTGTACAAGTACAAGAAACTGATAATCAACTGATTATTATGAATTTTATTCTCTAGATTAGCCATGAACATTTCAGCTAGCAAAGGACTTATCAGTCCTTTGCTAGCTGCTAGACATTATCAGTCCTTCGCTGCATGAATACATGGTTTTTATCTGAGAGACGCTCAACCAGCTCAATTGTTTCAGTTGGCGGAATACTGGGAAATAAATTTTGGATATCAAGTGATATTAATTTAGTGTTATCAGGAAGAGATATGGTTTTAATATTATTCAGTGATTTATATTGAATGGAAAAACTAATTCTACATTTGCAAATTATCTTTTGACAGATGGACATGAGTTCGAACTCAAATATGACATGTTACAATTGGAAATAGACTTAAGAATTTGGATAATTAACTGAATACTTTCCATTATTGAATATTTTTTCAAATGTGGAGACAGGTAATTAACTGATATATAATCTCAAATAATTTCATTCATAACATATTTTATTAAATGAGCTTGTAAAATTTCTTGTTGTATGTTAAAGTTAATTGTTCATTCTTGAACTCCAAGAGATTCCTGCAGAGGAGCCTTTAACTCTTTGAGGCACAGAGCGAACACTGCTCTGTTTGCGAGGCTAAACCATCGCAACCATCGGTGGGGTCCTCATCATTTGGCTCCTTCTCCATAACAGGATGTGCAGAGTCGTGTTTGTGTATCTGGAAAAAGTTTGGGTTTTAAAATTTGATATCACAACATTTTTACCATCATTAATGTTTTTAATTAATATCTTACCAGTTTTTGTCTTTTATCGACTCTCTGTTTTCTGTCCATGTCATGTTTCCTTTTGATAAAGGCTTGAGAGATGGCCCATGTTTTGGGAGGGAACCCAATCGGGGTTATCCTTATCATCTAAAGGACTTGGTTTTCCTGAAAAATAAAACATACAAATCTTACTTGCCTGAATAATACATTGCTCGATGTATTTCATATTTGCTATATATCATTTTGCCACCTAATACAGTGAGGCTACTCCATTTAAAAGGACGAGAGTAAAAAATACCTTGTATGAAATGTCTGCAATTTTAGTTAGTATAGACACGCCTGAAGAAGCTATTGTATAGCGAAACAGATGTTGTGGTTTTGTTAACTGTGTGGTGAAAATGTCACAATAAAATAGCTTTCTTTGTTGCTAATTCTTCAATATGATTTGTTTCGAAGTAATACTGGAGTTGTGCTTCATAAACATCCCATCTATCAGACTCTAAAATGAACTCTTTCACTGTTCCTTAGGTGCAATTCAATTTGCAGCTGCTGGATATAAAGATGGTTACCGATGTGTTCAGCATTTTCAAAATGTTTTGGTTTTTCCTTGTCGCCAGTAACTTGTCAGAATTTGAGCTTTTAAATGAAAGCTGCAGATTGTGAAACACTCAATTACAACGAGCTAAATGATTTTTTATCTCCACTTCCAAATTCATATGACAAGTTATTAATAAAAACATAACACTTTACAACCTCCTCTTTTGTTAGTGTCTAGGGTGTCCTAGATTCTAATATATTGCGTTGAAACCAATGAATACTTTGAAAGGAGAATTTCAGACATAGTCGAAAAGTGAAAAAATCATAGTTTTTCTTTAATGCATTTCATTCAATAATTTTTTAATTCTTTTATTTATGTTCGCTTGGAAAGGTTATTGTATTTTGTAGGTTTTTTAGTACAATAATATATGATCTTTTATTTGTGAAAATTAAATTTCTCAATCGTATTTGTAGTTTTCATTCAAGCATAAAAATAACTTATTGATCACTAATTTGATATCTAAAACATCAAAATATCTTACTTGTACTCTATGAACATTTTGCCAGTTATGAAAGGAGGACAATATGGTAAACAATTTATTCATAACATTTCTCTATATCAAGATAACAATTGGTAAAATATTAAAACAAAAAAGCAATTTCTTCTAAAAACTATCTCACACAATAGGTCCAACATAAAGGAACCTAGTAACTTTATAGAATAAAATTATTTATGTTCAAAATATCTAAAATAAGTAATGATTCAAGTCAATGTTTTAGTCAAGATGTCAACAGGAGTTGTGTTAAAAAAAAAGTAAATTGTAAATGTAACATGAACTACACCATTGTGCCAATTTTGAGACAACAATGTTGTTCTCTGAATCTTGAGACAACAATGAATCAGAATGAAAGCCAAAATTTCACATTGTAAACTCATATCCTGCAGGAAATTTTCCTGTGACATATTGATATAAACTACTCTCCAAATCACCCAAGAGACCCGAAGCACCAAACCTAAATAATTCAGGATTTAACCAATCTTTCCCCAATAGTTCTTTAATTAATATTAACCAGTTCAAGGCATCTTTAGTACTTCTAACCCCTCCAGCAGGTTTCAATCCCACCTGCAAGAAATATATAGAAACACCATAAATGTCAAAAAAATATCATTACTATTATCAATAATAAAAATAAAATGGACAATGTCCATTTTCCAGAATAGGCCAATTTCACTTTGTGTATTTCTTCAATTTGTACTACAAGATAAATTCACCACGTTCTGAAAAGTTATTAACTTTGGAGTGGTTTATACAATTCTTTCAGAAACAAACTGCATTGTCATATGAATTGCGGATTTTTTTATATGTTCTAAAAGAACGGATTTATTTCCCTCATTGCAAATTATTTGAGAAGGTTTGCAAGGTTAATGAATTGTTGTTCATATTATTCATATGTTACCGGTAACAGTTAAAACAAATGTTATAGTCCAAAATTGTTATGTACGGTGTGACGTTTCTCATAAATTATAATACTTTGAATTTCCATTATGTAATTTTTGATATACAAAGCCCAATAAAACCAAATTAATCCAAATTTTTTCTCAACGCACCTTGTAACCCATTTTTTCATGGTATTCCCTTATAGCTCTGGCCATAACAATACCAAATGGAAGAGTGGCGTTCACAGACTCTTTTCCTGTTGAAGTTTTTATGAAGTCTGAGCCAGCCATCATAGCCACAAGAGATGCTTTGTATACCTAAAAAATATTTTCATTATTGAGTAGTTTGACAACACATTATCTACAATGCTAAATCGAACATATATTGAACCAACTCACATTATCCAGAGTTCCCAACTCTCCTGTAGCCAAAATAGCCTTCAGATGTGCATGAGACCCACAAGCCTCCTTCATCACTTGGATTTCTTGATACAATTGCTCCCATTTACTAACCAGCACTAAACTTCTGTCTATCACAATGTCTATTTCTGTGGCGCCTTTCTCAACTGCAAATCTAATTTCTTCCAATCGTGTTTTTAATGGAATCTGACCACTTGGAAAACCAGTTGCAACTGTGAGATTTATTAAATATTATTTCCTAAATAAGCATTTATCATTCAGATTTTTTGTTCTATGTTTTTCAAGTTTATAATATATCTTGCATTGTGCAATTATTTTTCTCTCCATTATTTCCAAACTCTATTTTAGTTTTGGTGTGTTTAGTGCCTAGTATAAATACCAAACTGGCTGGAGGTAACTCTAGTTTTTACTTGCCCAGAACTTTTATTATTTGTCACTGTTTGTAATTGTAAAAAGTGACACATGCAAAGATGTAACTTGTTACTGGACTGCAAGAAAATATTCATATATTATTTCAAGAACTTTAATAATAAAAATAACATCATAATTACTTATCTTTAGTTTGTGTAGTTGATGAAATGTATTCTCCAATGTTGCTCAATAAATATATGATAGTTTATTCCTATTTTCAATGGTTTAGATTGATTGACAGTTTTTTACCTGATGCTACTTTAATTCTATCAGCCATCCCCATCTTCTTGAGAGTTTGAATAGCATCATCAACTTTAGACGGATATACACAAACTGCTGCTGTGTGAATTGGGTACTTTTCATCATATTCAAAACCTAGTTCATCAAGATCTTCAGCTACGGGCTTGGCTGCCTAAAAATGTAGAACATAAAGAACAAATAAAAGAAATGCAATCTATAACCCAAAATAATTTATTTGATAGTCCATTCTTCACTTTATAAAATATGTTGAAAGCATCTAATAAAAATTATAATACCGCGTACCTTCTGAATGAATCTGACCTTCAGAGAGAGAGAGGGCCTACTGGGCCAATTCGTTTTTGAAAAAAATAAGGTAAAATTATTCATTTCATGAATAAAGACAATACATTTTCTCAACATATATATTTACAAATAATGTAATGAATATGTAAGTTTATTTCAACATAAAAGCCACAACGATTTACGACATTTCAATTTTGCCCCTATAAGTTACTTAGTTATATTGTAAATTATTATGAAGATTTTGATTGTTTCATCTCACAAGTCTTTAAAAAAATCAAGAGGTTTCAAAACAGCACTGCTCTCACAGACCAGAACTACAAGATTATGGGTTTGATTCCTAATTCGACCAGATATTTTTCTCGGCAGAAGTTATATAGTTCAAGGTAGAGAGTGAATAGTCATGATACCTCTATGTGGCTTGGGAATTTATCATCTAGACTACTCAAAACAAGAAGATAGTGACCGCATTAGTCGATGTCACTGATTCTGAGAAAAAGAAATAAACAGTGGCCACTTATGTGAAAATATTCTCTCGAAACCTAAATTGTTTGGTTTAAACCAAAAAAAAAAGTCTAAAAGGCAACCACAACAATTTCCACAATACCTACAAATACAAACATCCATCAAATTTTCAACCACTGCCAGTTTCTTCAAATGTGATACATTACTTTTGTGGTCTTTCTGAAATCATGAAAGAAATCAATTCTAGATTCAACATTTTTCATACCTCAAAAAATCATTCAAGGTCTTCATTAACTCTAACAAAATATTCAGATGTATTTTTTTTGTTCCTTGATATGTCAAAACGTTACTGAGAAAGGTTGTTTATATTGAAAAATTATAGATCTATACAAAATTTCAGGAAGATTTAACCAATTTGATCAAATTTCCATTTTATAATCATGAATTATATTTACTCATACATTTATCACACATGATGCTGGAAGGTACTTTGAATAAATGTATTTTAGGGAGAGCATTATGTTCTGAGTCTTATTGGTGAGTAAAAACAATGAATTTATGTAACAACCAAACAAATCAAAGCAAATAAATCTTCCTTCCCTTAGGAACATATTATGGACAAAAAGGATACATTACCTGAAAAGAAAATGGTTTTTGCCTCGCCATCAAGGTCAACTCGTTTTTCAATAACAGAAAATATTCTTAAAATTGAGAAAATATTCTTAAAATTTATTTCTCACAAAGCAGAGCTCAATCCCACAATCTCAAATTGAAATTAAAAAATTTTCAGTACATCACACCTCTAGTAATAATATGAAAATCAAGATATTATGAAATCCAAATTAGATGAGCATATTTTGACAAAAGATGGTGTCCATGTGAAGAATTGGAAATTCAGCAAAATTATTATGACATCCTAAAAAACTAGAAAAAAAGTAGAAGAAAAATCTTGAATAAATTTGAATGGGAATGATACCCAATCAATTTTAATCAAACATGGCTACCTTTCCTGAAAAAGGAATCTGAACTGTGAAAATGTTATACCAAGTAAAATTTTCAATGTAATTTAAAAAAATATTTAATTTGACATTTTTTCAATTGTGTACAATTTTTTAAATCTTTTTATGAGTTTTCGATAAAAGGAACAAGTGGTTCCTGAAACATCATCCAAAGAAAAAATATTTTCATTGAAATTTGAAGTACTTATATGGGCAGAATTTATAATAAGAAGAGGTTCTGACAAATTGAATGATTTGGTCTTTTCGTTTGGTTGATTTTAAAAAGTTCTTATTAAACCTTGCTAGTGAAAACTCATAAATGCCAGAAATAACACAAACAATATCTTGGAATTTCAACAGGGCTTTCCTCATGAAAAATTCAAACCATTTACCTTAAAGCATAACCTGGACACATTACTCTGAGTATCATCTCCTGCAAGTGTAGTTAGGTCTATGCAAGTCATCGCTTTCAGAATCCACGCTGCCCGGTATTCGTCTTTTAATTCTCTAAATGAGCTTAATTTTTTGGCAAGTTCATTCACAGCCGTTAAATTAACGTTAACACTATTCAGCCATCCCAAATCTAAGGAAATATAAAATATATGATATTATGAAAATATATTTAATTCCGATTTTACCCAGCTCACAACCCGGATTTCGCTCTCCTGACATATTTTCAGTAACTTACAGGAAATGTATTTTAAATGTATATTTCAAAATAGAAATAATTCTTTGTCAAAGATAATTCTATTTCATAAATTTTCGAAAGTCAGGTTAAATTTTCTTTTTTATCTACTTCTTCCCTATTTCCTTGGTTATACGGAATTCAAAATTAGAAGCCAGCACCAATGCTATAGAAACTGCAAAACACAGATGCATATATTGGGTTTGGTACCACGTTAGTAATTATATTTGCCAACCAGTGTGTTTTGAGCATCAGTTTGAGAATAGTTAAACCATTTTCGTTGGATATATTTTTGAATATTTTAAGATTTCAGAAAAGTAATTTGTGTTTATTTAATTCGTGCAAATACTTTTCGGTATGTTGTTTTCGTATTCAATGAATACGAAATGAATATTTCGTATTCAATGAATATTGGTATTCAATGAATATTTTTTTCGAATGATGGGGATTTTCAAAGGTGTTTTCACTTTTCACAAGAATAATACAAGCTCTTCCGATTTTTTGATACTAGTTCAATTTGTGAAACTTAATTTCCAATGTTTCACGTTGATTTGTATTAATATTTTTATACCTGCTTATGATTTTTGAATTTTCTTCTCATATACACTAAAGGCCCTTTTTATCGTTGGCAATTAGTTGAGCACGTAAGGTAGGAGAAATGCACATTCATGTAAACTGAAACCTGTATGTTAAAGAAATTTTATACAAATCAAAAACAAAGAGTTGGGATACTTATCCCAATTTTCAACACATTTATTCAGGGCTTTCCTTCATCTACATACTCTTTCAATTGTGAACTTCTTTTCACTATACTTTTGAGTTGATTTTTTCGTGGAAAATAATGAAAATTGATACCACTGCATGATACGTTTATGATTTGAGGAACCTAATAGAACTTAAGGGATTACGATACCAATCAATGCGATGCGGAGAATATTCTCTGCTGTTCTAATGAACTTGGGTACTGCCAAGAATGGTAAAAATTATATGTAGGGATGACAACTGTTGGAAATATCAACAATCTCAGATATTCCATCTTTAGGGAGTTGAATAATATTGTCATTTACATTTTTTTTTATGAAAAAATGTTAAAGGAAAGTACCTGTAAAACCAAATCTAGCAGGTCATCTATAACATATAGGCTGATCTTAGCTCCCATTGAATTACCAAAAGTTTGTTTATGAATTGTACTACTGAAAGATGAATATGTATTATTGAAAGTTGAAAGAAATTGTCTTCATGAATTCTATAAAATTTAATAATACGTTCCCATTTTTCATCAATAGATCTGAAGCAATTACAAAATTTCTCAGGAAGTTTAATGTTATCAAATTTAGAGAAAGCATCAAAAAAGGATTTGATAAAATATTCATAATCGTATTCATGAGCCTTAATTATTATGTCTGTAGGGAAAGAGGTAAGTATTTCAGTGGGAGAACCGATGGAAGCGATATTAGGTCTCACAGACAGGATAGGTTTGAGTATTAAGAATTGCGTGAAATTTTGAAAGTGTACCATTATAATTAGTGACACGTTTTTTGTTAATTCGTTAACAAACGAAAATGAAAAATAAAATTTAAAAGATTCCGAACCAAGTTACGTCACGACGTTTCGATTGTTAGTATCCACAATCGTCTTTTTTTTCAGGGATTTCGAATCAATTTACAATATATTAGACAATGGAATTCCAACCTGATTAAATACAAATAATTCAGACCATAAATGATATATTAGTTTTTTTTAAAAAAGGAAAAACCACCTGTTGGTTGGAAATATCAAATTTTGAGATTGAAATATGATATGTATGTGACATGAACACAGATTGAATCATTTTGATATTCAAACACATCATCAGTAGTTTAATTAATGTGTTATATGCAAATTTTCACTATTCACTTCATATCATTCAAATATTTTTACTTTCATTCAGATGTCACTTTTTTAAAGTGTAATCATATCTAAGTCTGTAGTAGCCACAGCCAAGCAGCTCCCAAGTTATTTGGCAACAGGGCTATGGTTCGGGTCACAGACACAGAACTATGTCACAGATCGTTTATTTGTTTGATGTTAAATGTCAAAAAAACTTGAGCTTTGTCATTGGCTGGGACTATACATGTATAACCGCCCAGTCCGTATCAACGTTGCCAAGTGTACCCAGTTTGTATTTCGCGGGAAATTATAAATTATACTTTAAAAATCAGGTTATGTGTTAGAACTTGCTTTAGTTATATTGTGGTTTTCTTTTTTACTTACCTGTATCGGAATTTGAATTCAGAAAATTCCAGTTAGATGTAGTATACGTGAGAAAGTATATGCCACACAATCATTTCATAACAAACAAGTGCACCAAAAAAATCCAGAGCCTTTAGCTTATTCATCTCAGAGGGGATGCCCTGCAACTTTTAGTAGCCTTTTTCTTGAAGCAGATTGTGATGCTGCATTCAAAACCCATAAGAATTCAGTGGACCATTTGCAGAGAATTCAATTGCTGAAGTTTGAAACAGAGTGCCCTGTTATGAAAAATATAAATGGTTTGTTGATTCTAAAATCAGAATAACACTATTTTGACAATTATTTTTATTTATTTCAGATTTTGGAAATCAAATATTGAAACAATTAACAATTGCTCTTATGTTTTGAAAAGTAGAAATGCTAGTACTATTGGTGAAATAGTGTATCACAAGTGCAACAGGTGTACCCACATCAAGTGAGCACTAATTTGATTATTGAGTGTAAAGGTATTCAGATTGGGTACAGATATGCTACATGGATATGGTACAGCTGAGCCTATATTTCAAAAATTAACATAAATATTAACCCTATATAAGTGCAATTTGATAAAAGGTGAGATAGAATAAAAAATTCTAACATGTTATATCTCAAAAGGAGCTGATTGACTTCTTTATACACTCTGTTGTAAGTTATATCCTCAATGACAACAGTAATCAAAGACATAGATTGTTGAAGAGCCAGGGATCTTGTAAAATAAAAAGTTCTTGCACAAGCACAATCAAAGTTATTAAAGAAAAAAAATAAAATTATGGTTGAGTAGCAAAAAGTACATTATGGTCATAAGCTAGATACTAGAACTAGACTGCAAAAACTGAAAAATAAAATGTTGCCACAAAGATAACAAATGGGTTTGCACCCCAAAGGTAATTATATTTTATACTTATGTTACTAACAGAGACTTGATGAAGGAAAAAGAATTGAAACTTTTATGTTTTTCACCTCGTAGAAAGTTTCAATTCTCTTTTCTTCATTATGATTTCCTACCACGTAGTTAGAATAGATCCAAAGTGAGTGGGTCTATTCGATCCTCCACCACAACCCGCAAGGGTTTATTGTGGCTCACACCTATTCTTAGTCGACCAAATAAACCCAGCTTCTTAACGAAGCTGGTTAGTTTGTATGGTGAGTGGTCTTTCAGGTCAGATGGTAAGAGTACGGCTCTGCCGAACTCTAAAAACCTGATTCGGTCCCCAACATGGCAGGCACAAAGTATATGCTCTACTGTTTCATCATTTTCCGTTTTTGACAGTCTAAGTCTTGTTAGATCTCGTAGTTCATCCCTACTGTTTGATATCAAGCTTCGAAGGGTGAATAATGGAGGGAGCCAATCCTGGAAGATTATGCCAGAAGTTAAACCTTCTTGCCATCCAGGTATTCAATCTTTGTTTGGCAAAAATTGAATAGAACTGGTCGATACTTGATGAAAATCCATATTGAAAAACTAATTATTACAGTTTACACTATAAAGGGTATAGCGAAACTCGTGTCACGGTTTTTGTAAAACCCTTTATAGTGAAAATCATACAATAAACTGTATTAATTAGTTTTTTCTTTATGTTTGGCAAAGCCTAAAGCGATACCAATGACACATTCTGGTCCAATGAAGCTACTTGCAGCACCCTCCTTTGCAAAGGAGTCAGCAGCCTGATTGCCTTCCAGGCCAGAATGGCCAGGAATTCAGACCAGAGACAATCTGTTGAGTTTTCTTATCGAAGAGAGTCGTTTTTGGCAATTTGCTACCAATTTAGACGTTGCTCGGTAGGAGCCAAGAGCTTCCAATGCCGCTTGACTGTTCGAGATAATTTTTATTGACTTGTGTATAAGGTTGGATTCTTCCAGTCTCTCCGCACATAATTATATCGGAAATTTCCGCTTGAAATACAGTCGCATAGGTTCCTAGGCAGGTTGATATCTCTGTCCTGGGTCTGCGACTTGAAACACCTGCACCAGAACCAGAAGGTGTTTTTGATCCAACTGTGAACCAACAGTCCATCTTGCCTCTGTCTCCAGAAAAATGTGGAGAAGAGGTAGATTTAGAAGGATCTATGGCCGCTGATGGTGGGGTACTGATGGCAGCACTGATGGCTAGACAAGCCTGTCTGTAAGACAGAGGGCGTCGCCTGGGCCGTTGGGCCGTTTTTTGTAAAGACTTAGGCCACCAGACAATTGCACCATGAGTGATCTTTATTAGTCTGACAATCATCACATAAATCCAATGGATTTGTTTGGGACCTAAACCCACAAATCCTTTGACATATCCATAGGGACAGTCTGGCTTTGTGTAAAACTTTTTCCAAGTGAGCGCTCAGGTGAGTTTTTTGCCAAGGATAATGCCAAGATATTTCACCTCCATCCCAAATGGAATGACCTCACCATTGAGGGAAAGTGGCGTTAGATCGTTCTCTTCCTGGTGTAGGGTATTATCACGGTTTTGCTGTGGCTGACAGACATCTGCTCCCTCAGACACCAACTGTGAACATCGCCCAACGTGCTTTGGAGAATATTACAAGCTACCACTTAGTAACGGCTACATCCATCAATTTATCAGAGACTTATTAACAAATAATTCCAATGCCAATTTCTGCAGAATCCTGTGATTTAGATGTAAAATAGCATCTAAATATTCACTCATCAATTTTGAATTATTCATCTTATACCAGAGCATTAACCTAACCAATTTTTTCACAGAATCTTAGAATTCACTCGTGATAATATTGGTGAACATTAAAAAGAGTAGATTTGTTAACTTCTAAGGATCTGAGGAATATAAAAATAAGCTAAGGTCTTGAATTGAAAGATGGAAAGCAAGACTCTAATGATGCTTTTCCTGTGGCTCTTTGGGTGAAGGAATGTGAAAATCTCAAAGAAAATCCTATTTTCTTGTATAAAGATCAAGGAAAGAACCATAGTGTTTTGAGAAAAGAGGACTTTTGCTTGATAATAATGAACACATTTCAAAGACAAATGATGAAACAGTTTTCATCTACAATCACCATTGATAATTTAGGCCATAGTACCTATGGCCTAAATTACTACGATTTTGAAATGACAACCATTATGGTCTTAGATGAATATCACCATGGTTTTGCAGTAACTGAAAGGTTCACAAATAGAAAAGATACTATTGTGCAGAGTGTATTTTTCAGCAATCAAGGACACCATTGGTGTTTTGGTGGTGGTTGGTAGTTAAGGTTTTTTTATTTCAGGAGTTATTCATTGTGAATATGTCAGATATGGCTGAGGTGTTTTGTAATGCATGGTCTGGGGTGATGGGTCCGCCTTATCCACAGCACTTATTCTACTCCTGACATGTTGACAGAGCTTGGCAGAGCAATTTCAATAAAATTTCCAATAAGGACAAGCGTTCAGAAATTTACAAAATACTGATAATATTGCAAGAAGAAACTTTTGAATTAAACTTTGTTTCAGCTTTGGATAATGCTTTGAGTTATATGTGAAACAATGAAGTCACAAGACATTCTAGAGAGTATTTTTCTAATGCCTGCAGCCATAATTTAAAAAAATGGGCTTACTGTTTTAGAAAAGAAGCTAGCATTACCACAAATATGCATATGGACTTGATGCATAAAGTAATTAAGTATTTCTACTTGGAAACAAAGGCAGTAAAATGCCTTCATAAGGGTTTAAACATGGTATTGAAATATGTAAGAGACAAGATTGGTGAACGAATTATTACATTGAGCAAGGGTGAACATTCCAAACAAACAAGACTGATATCTCAGAATCACAAGGAGGCTATTAAAAATAGCAATGAGCATACAATTTTTAAAATTGGTAATAACTGGAAAATTTCCAAAAATCAGAATAGTTCATATACTATCCACCAGATATTAGAATCGAAATGCTGTGAACAATTATGTTTGTTCTGTGAGGCACGTAATCATAAGATTTTATGTGAGTGCAAATTCTATAGAGAAAGAAAAATTATGTGCAATTGATAATGAAATTAGAAAGTTTAGATTTTCATCAGCTTGGTGATGACACTATCAATAAAATACATCAGTATTCATCCATAATAAATAACTTATCTAAATGTACAAAATTGATAGAAACGGATAATGAATTGAAACCCAAAAATAAATCCTCTAAAAGATACATTGATCCACAAATTAGGTTCACATCAACGAAAAAGAAACGCGATCAGAAAAAAACATTTCATTGGGCCTCCCCACAAGAACTGACAACAATTCAAGAAAACCTATCACACGCCCTTGTAGATGTATTTTTTTACAAAGCAGTTCAACCTATAAGTGACCACCAATATCGTTGATTATCACCATTTCGATATTTATGTTTTTTTGTTTGGCGATAAACTCTTGTTTTTAGAAAATTGTTTTTATTAGCATAGTTCCTGAGTTACATTTTGAATTTCCCGTGAAATACGAACTGGCTACACTTGGCAACGTTGGTGCGGACTGGGTGGTTTAGCCCGAGAATACCTACCACAGAGAAGCGACAAAGACGGCCATTTTGTGTCCCTTTTTCGTAGACGCATGCGTCGACTTGGTTGTCCCACGTCATTCTCGGGCTTAGTTATCTCCATTAGTCTGTGAGCACTGAGCAAACATAATGAGGTAGGTAATTAGTTACAAAAGGTACCTACCTAACTCGGTATACATTAAATTTATGCTATTTAAGCAAGAGTTTTCAGGAGATAATTGGTTTTGAAGAATACATCGTGAGAGAAACAGTAGAAAATTCAGTGATATTTAAGGCACTTGAAATTAAAATTAAAACAATGCTCGAATAGGACAAGCGATGTGTGATATCTATAGATGAGATGGCTTTAAAATCCAATATTTTTTTTGATACAGGATGTGATGAAATTATTGGTTTCGAAGATACTGGAGAGGCAAATAGGAGGGATTCCATATATAGAAATGTTCTCGTTATTATGGCTAGAGGACTTTATTCTCCCTGGAAACAACCGATTGCTTTTTTTCCATTGAATCACAGCTATCAGCAAAAAATCTACGTAATATTTTGGACAAGTGCATTTCTAAATTATCCAATATAGGTCTGCATGTTGATGGCATTGTGAGTGACATGGGCTCTAACTTTTATGAATTATCAAAGTTATTAGGAGTCATATTAGAAGAATCTTAATTTGAGCACGGCGGTAAAAAAAACTTGTTTATATTTTTGATACAAGTCATTTGATAAAAGCCACTAGAAACAATTTTTTAAAACATTCATTTCATTTTGAAGGCAAAAGTACATCTTAGTCTCTTGTGCGCTCTTTTTTATGAGCAAGACATAGGTCAATTTTATAGATTCGCACCAAATCTTACCAAATCACATATCAATCCAAACAATTTTGAAAAAATGAAAGTGAGTCCAGCAACACAAGTTCTAAGCCGTACAGTTGCCAGTGGAATGAATGCGTTTGTGGCAATTAACTCACTTCCTGCTTCTTCTTTTGGCACAATACACGTAATAGAGACATTCAATAACCTTTTTGATTTGTTGAATTCGTGTTCTTTACGATATCCTTATAAATACAAAAACGTTCCAGAAGTTTAGAAATTCCAATTAGATTTTTTTAAAGAGGATCTAACGTTTTTGAAAAATCTTGAAATTTTCAATTCAGATGACAAAAATGTCACAAATCGAGTCAGATTTAGAAAATGTTGGATTATTTCCATGAATAGTGTAATTAAAATATGGGATAAGCTTTCCAAATCAAATTATAAATATCTAAAAACGATGTTAATCCGACCCCCATACAATTTCAAAGGGCATTCTGGAAGTTGTTTTGCCTAAATTATTTTCATTCCAATCATATGAATTGTAGGAATGATTTAGATGATTTATTAATCAGTATACAATCCACAAACGTAAATGATATATTTATATCACATGAGAATCACAGCCCTTGCCCTTCCGGATTATAATTATCAAAAAGAAGATGTATGTACTCAGAATTCATTCATTTACGTTTGTGGATAAATTAAAAAAAATCTCTTCAAGTTCATACATGTTATGTGTGTCACTCTTTCAGCACGAAGTGCTGGACTTTTGATGTAAATCGTCTGTTAAGCTATTTTAAAGCTTATACTACGAAAAAAAAAACATGTTTGGAAATTTGCGCTCACCACCAGATGAATTCATTAATTTTATATATCAGTTGGAATGTTTATTCAACAATCGATTTACAGAAATTTCTACTGGGGGAGCATTTTCGAATATATTATTCAACCTAATGAAGGATGTAGATTTGCTTCATTCTTTTGAAAATTTTCCAAAAATGTACATAATTAAGCTATTCATAAGAATGAAAATTTTTTATGGTTATCAAATATGCTAATAGAGATATCAATAATACCAAAGGTAAAACTGTAATAAGGAAACTTAAGATTCTGTCACATTTTTAAATTAAGAGTGGACTTATTTATTTCAGAGGATATAAAATGATTATAATATAAGCATTATTCTATTATCGTAACTTTATTTTAATTTTCTATCTAATGAATTGGATTTACAAAATAGAGTAATTGAATTTATTTCTTAAAAGCCAATTCATCATAAATAATAATAAATTGGCAACATAGTTGAATATTCCCTATCATTACTGCGAAAGTTGTTCAATTAGCAATATAAAAATTGAATGGAGTAAGATTCCCTTCACACTATAATTTTATATTTCACACTAAGCCCACGTACTATACTAGAACGTAAGAGTATGTATTTTTATTAGTGTATATCGCTGAGAGGTCATTTTGCTCAGAGAACCAGGTTGTTTATCACTGAGAGGTGGAGATGGGACACCGAACATCAAAGGATCCGACGTTAATGTCGCTTCTCTGTGGTAGGTATTCTCGGGTTTAGCCCTCAGAGTAACAAAAGACAATAGAGAGGCTTTTTCCATCCTTACATTGAAGTCAGCATAACTTTGTTCGTTTACGGGAAGTAAGTTGGACCATAAAATAGTGGCGGTTGGTTTAGTTGATAATCGGAGCAGCGCCCGATCTAGTGGGGGGGGGGGGCAAACCGGGCAATTGGCCGCGGCGGCAAAAATTGGTTAAAATTATACCATCTATGGAATAACGCATGGGTAAAAGGCGGCAAATATTATTTTGCCCGGAGCGGCGAAATAGCTGGATCGTGCCCTGAATTGGATATTAAATTGTTGGTATCCACAATCGTCTTCGGGTGATAACTGGACTTATTCCTCCGAGATCTGACTATTTATAGGTCATTCTAGTGCTTTCACCTATCCCCTCCTCATTCTTTCCACTTCATTGGTTTTGGCGGGGAGTTGGTCGTTTTTCGCTTGATTAGAGGTTTCCATATGTTACGTATCTCTACGCCAGCTTGACTTAATGCGTTGTTGGACAACATATGCGCGGCTTCTTTGAATTTTCTCCTAAACCAGTGTTCCCCTTTGTGGATGATTTCAGCTTGAGCCCACTTGATATTGTGTTGATGAGTCCTAACATGCTCTGCTATTCCGGATTTGCTGGTTTCTCCTCGCTGTGTGTGTTTCTTGGGCTCAGAAATGCGAACTTTCAATGACCTCTTAGTTTCACCGATGTATGATTCTCCGCATTCGCGAGATATCCGATAAATGCAATTCTTGGAATCGCAGTCCGCGTTTGGTGGCCTGGTTTTCGTGAGGCTGCTACGGATAGTGTTCCCAGATCGGAAGCCGGTCCTGATGTTATACTTGGACCCAATCCGTCTTATCCTTTCCGATAATCCTCTGATGTAGGGAAATACAAGTACTGGTTGTGGCGGCTTCTCTTTCTTGTGGAGTTCTTGCTGTCTTCTAGCTTCTAGCTAAGGCCAGTTCTACCATCACTATGGAGTAACCATTCCGTTGAAGGTCATTTTTGACGGTGCCTAGTTCCTTTTCGAGACCTTCCTTTGTATTACAGAGCCCAAAAGCACGGTCCAGTAGAGTCTTGATGATTCCTCTCTTAGTCGATTGATGGTGGTTGGATATCTGGTTCAGATACTGTCCTTTGTGAGTGGGTTTTCGATATACAGATGTTTCTCATTTAGTGTCGGTCCATTTAGTGTCGGTGAAAGTGATGAAAGGCCTTACGTTGTTGAAAGTGATTGAAGGCCTTACGTTGTTGATGTGCTTCAGGAAAGTGTCTAGTTCTGCATTCCCATGGTTCCATATTATGAAGGTGTCGTCTACGTATCTCAACCAGACTCGGGGCTTCTTGTGGGCTTCTTCAATGGCCAAAGTTTCAAACCACTCCATATATAAATTGGCTATAACAGGTGAAAGTGGCGATCTCATTGGCAGTCCCTCATCTTGCGTAAAGAATTCGTCCTTCAGTTGGAAGTAGCAGTTTCGAACACAGCATCCTAGTAATTCCATGATTACTTGTATCGGTAAGTTTGTTCTATCTTTCACGTCACCATCTTCGGATGGCTTCTTCTGTATGATTTGAAGTGCTTCTTCGACAGGAACGTTGGTGTAGAGGCTTTCCACGTCGAAACTGATCAGTTGATCCTGCTCTTTGACTTCGATTTCCCCTAGTAGTTCAACGAAATGCCTTGAATTTTTCACAAAAGATGATGTTTTACCTTGCAGTGGTTTAATTATTGGTAGTAAAATTCTGGACAAGTTCTGAGTGGCTGAATCTCTTCACACATATGAAAAACATATTTTTCATTTTTGATTACAGTTTTTTTTCATTTACATTAATGATTTTTCGTAATTATAGTATTCGTTAGCAGATGAAATTGTACCATTGGGTTATTTTGATTGCAAGGTCATTTATCAAGATAAACAATTTGATTTAGATATATATGTCATTGAAAACGTTGGCCCACCGTTACAAGGGTGGGATTTTTTTAATCAGTGCAATTTGGACATTTCCGAATTATATTACGGGGACGTATCCGACGATTTACAATTTTTTATTGGTAAATACAAGTTTTTTTTTCTCCTGGATTGGGTATTCTCAATAAGGGACTCATGTCAATGAAATTAAAATCAGATTCTGTTACTCCAAAATTTTTCAGAGCACATCCTTTACCTTTTGCCATTAAGGAAGATGTGAAAAAGGAACTCCAGCGGTTAAATGATCTTGGAGTAATCAAACAGGTTCAGTATTCTGAGTGGGCATCTCCTATTGTCCCAGTTTTGAAAAAAGATGGTACCATTAGGATATGCGGAGATTTTAAGGTTACTGTGAATCCTTTCATCGAAATCGACCCATTTCCTCATTCAAAAATAGAAGACCTCTTTGTCAAACTACAGGGTGGAATGTATTTTACGAAGCTCGATCTATCAAATGCGTATCAGCAAATTTGTTTAGATGAAGCATCAAAAAAATTGGTAGTCATATCTACCCATAAGGGTTTATTCCAATATAATAGGGCACCGTTTGGTATTGCAAGTATACCGGGAAAATTCCAAAGAATATTGGAATCAATTTTACAAGATTTAAATGGTGTTGTTTGCTTTCTGGATGACCTCTTATTCCTAGGTAAAAATCGTAATGAACATATCAGAAGGTTGGAAGCTGTGCTAGCTAGATTGGAAAATGCAGGATTGAAATTGTCGTTGAAGAAATGCGAATTTTTCAGAAGTGAAATATTTTATTTGGGCTACGACATATATAAAGTTGGTCTGCATACTTCCGAGTCGAAAATTTCAGCCATAAAATACGCTTCAGTTCCTTATATTACCTCATTGATATCTTTTTTGGGATTAACTATATATGTTCCAAACATTTCTTCTGTTTTGCATCCACTGTATAACCTGCTGAAGTCGAATTCAAGATGGGAATGGTCTGATGAATACGAATTCGCATTTGAAAACGTTAAACAGTTGTTGATATCAGCACAAACTTTCAGCTATATGGACGAAGAGGCTTTTGG